GCCTATTCCTGCCAGAGTTTGCTGATGTTGCTGCTGTTGCTGCTGCTGCTGCTGCTGTTGCTTCGGTCATGCAGCTACAGCTGCTGCTGCTGCACTCTGTGCTGCTTGTAGCAGCAAACAGATCTAGTTCTGCTGCTTGGGCAGCAGCAACAGCAGCAGCAGAGGTCACCTGCTGCTCTGCTGCTGCTGCTTGTGCTTGTGCTGCAGCAGCAGCTGCTTCTGAGTCACCATGTTCTTCCGAGTGTCCCCCTGCTGCTGCTGCGGCTGCTGCTCCTACTGCTGCTGCTGCTGCTGCTGCTGCTGCTGCTCCTGTTGCTTCTGCCTCCTCTGCTGGAGAGGTGCATGCAGACACTGCACAGAGCGCAGTTTCATTGTTGTTGTTGCTGCTGCTGCTGTTGCCACTGCTGCTGCTGTTGCCACTGCTGCTGCTGCTGTTGCTGCTGCTGCTGCTGCTGCTGCTGCTGCTGCTATTCCCGTTGCTGCAAGCAGCCTGCTGTTCCTGCTGTTGCTGTATTTCTTGCTGCTGTTGCTGTTGTTGCTGCAGCGAGCGTTTTGGCGAGTGCTGCAGTCCGCAGCAGCAGCAAGCAATGCAGCAGCAGCAATTATCTGCATCTAGCTGCTGCAGCAGCAGCAAAGGGACACCAAAGTACTGCAGCAGCGGCTGCTCAACAGCAGCACGTAAATGCAGCAAACGTTTTAATGGGTGGCACCAGAGCAAATCGTTCTGCTGCAGCAGCTGCTGCTGCTCCTGCTGCTCCTGCTGCTGCTGCTGGTGTTGCTGCTGCTGCTGCGGCTGATCTCGAGGTTGTTCCTCCCAATGTTGCTGCTGTTCAGGATACTGCTGCTGCAGCTGTTGCTGCTGCTGCTGCGGCTGCTGCTGCAGCATCACGTAGATGGCATATCGGCCTGAACATCTACTAACGAAGCCGTTCTTTCTGCTGCTGCTGCTGCTGCTGCTGCTGCTGCTGAAGTGAAGCTGCTGTTACAGCAGCAAGAGCTGCAGCAGCAGCAAAACGTTTGCTGCTGCTGCTGCTATAATGCCAAATAAAGAATATATAATTGCTGCTAACTGATAGCTAACTGAAAAAATGATAGAAGTTGCATGCAGCAGCAGCAGCGGGGCCCTCTGGGGGCCCCTTGTCCACTGCCTGCCAACTACAGCAGCAGCAGCAGCAGCAGCAGCTGCTGCTGCTGCTGCTACTGCTGCAGACATGTAAGCAATTAAATTGAGTTGTTTTTTAGTAATTTTATAACTTTCAATAGGAGACAAGTTGCTTCATTGCCTGTCTGCAGCAGCAGGAACTGCAGCAGCAGGAACTGCAGCAGCAGCAGCTGCAGCAGCAGCAGCAGCAGCAGGAGCGAAGCCATCGCATGCAGCAGCAGCAGCAACAGCAACAGCAATAAAGGAAGCAAAGGGTTGTTTATGTCTTTAAATTACCCGCAAGAGTTGCTTCAATAGATAGATTGATATATTAGCTGCTGCTGCTGCTGCTGTTGCTGCTGCTGCTGCTGCTCGCTAGTTTTGACTCGCAGCAATCGGCTGCAGCAGCCGTAGCAACAGCAGCAAAAGGTGCTGCAGCAATTGCACTTGCTGCAGCTGCAGCAGCATACGTATGCGCCAGCAGCAGTAGCAGCAAAGAGAGCAGCAGCAGCAGCAGCAACAGTGGCTGCAGCAGCATGCAGCAGCAGCACTAGTAGAACAAAAGCTTCAGCAGCAAACAACAGCAATAGCAACACCGCCAGCAGTACCACCTGCATTGCCAACAGGTACAGCAGCAGCAGCAGCACCAGCACCAGCAGCAGCAGCAGCAGCAGCAGCAGCAGCAGCAAAGGAATGGATTTATAGTGGCGAGTATCCGCCACGATGTCTTTGCCATTGAAGACAACATCTTTTCCTTTTGCTGCTGCTAAGCCAGCAGCAGCAGCAGCAGCAGCAGCAGCAACACCAGCAGCAGCAACAACAACAGCAGCAGGAGATGTAACTCCTGCATCAGCAGCAGCAACAGGAGGAGGAAGAACAACAGCAGCAGGAGCAGCAAAAGGATTTGCTTCCTTTGCTGCTCGTCTGCATGCAGGGGCCCGCAGCAGCAGCGATCTTTTTCATTCCCTTGCTGGCTTAATTCCTGCTGCTGCTGCTGCTGCAGATACTCCAGCAGCAGCAGCAGCAGCAACAGCAGCAACAACACCAGCAGCAGCAGCAACAGCTGCTGCTGCTGGCTTGCAAGATGAGCCCCTCAAGAGATCTTTCTCTGCAGCAGCTGCTGCTGCAGCAGACCCTCAGCAGCAGCTGCTGCAGCAGCAGCAGCAGGTAGAAGAACTGGATGACTTTGATGGTCCTGTGCTGCTGCGGCAGCTGCAGCAGCGGGAAGCAGAGTTGCGGCAGCTGCTAGACCGCAGCAAGCAGCAGGAAGCAGCAGCTGCTGCAGCGCAGCAGCAGCTGCAGCAGCTGCAGCAGCGGCAGCAGCAGGAACACATTCTTCTTATGGATGTGCTGCAGCGCTTCGGTGTAGTAGATGAGGAGTTTGCTGCTGCTGCTGCTGCAGCAGCAGCAGACTCTTCTTCTTCCTCCTCCTCCAACAGCACCAACGGCAGCAGCAGCAGCAGCAGCAGCAGCAGCAGCAGCAGCAGCAAGGAGATAGATGTATTTGTATGTGTACAAAGATTAGCAGCACATTTGCTGCGGATAGAAGCAGATAGGGAAGCATTAGCTTCTTTTTGTTTGCTGCTGTTCCCTCGTGAGGTGTCTCTGCAGCTTGCTGCTGCTGCTGCTGCTGCAGCAGCAGCAGGTAATGCAGCAGCAGCAGCAAAAGCAGCAGCAGCAAGAGCAGCAGGACCGCCACTCTCCTCGGGCTTGCTGCACCGCAAATGGCTAGAGAGCGAGGAAGAGAGGCAGCTAAGCAGCAGCAGCACGAAGGCGCAGCAGCAGCAGCAGTTGCTGCTGCTGCAGCAGCAGCAACAGGAACTGCAGCAACAGCAGCAGCAGCAAGAGCAGCAAGAGCAAAGATTACTCGAGCTGCAGCAGCAAATCGCCACTGTTACAAGAGAGAAGGCTTCGTTGCTGCTGCAGCTGCTGCAGCAGCGGAAAGCTGCTGCTGCTGCTGCTGCTGCAGCAGCAGCAGCAGATGTATGCAGGAACGAAGAGTCAATGAGCTGCAGCAAATGTAAGTTGCTGCAGCTGCAGCAAGCTGCTGCTGCTGCTGCAGCAGAGGAGCAGCAGCAGCTAGATGGCATTAGCCCTGATGGACACAGCGAAGGCCTATGGGGGAAGGAACGCAGTTGCAGCAGCAGCAGCAACAGCAGCAACAGCAGCAGCAGCAGCAGCAAAGAAGGAATAGACAGTGCTGCTGTTTCTCCTATAGGAGACAATGAAGTTAATGGGCAGACGCTGCAGCAGCAGCAGCAGTTGCTGCTGCTGCAGCAGCTGCAGCAGCAAGTTGAATCCCTGCAGCAGGAGGCGCAGCAGCAGAAGCAGCGTGCAGACAGCCTGCAGCAGGAAGTTTCTCGATTGCAGCAGCAGCAAGAGGAGCACGAGCAGCAGCAGCAGCAGCAGCTGCAGCAGCAGCAGCAGCTGCAGCAGCAGCAGCAAGAGCTAGAGGCCCATAGGCAACAAGCTCGTACTCTCCTCCTTAGTAAGGATGCAACTATAGATAGGCTGCGTCAACGGCTGCAGCAGCTGCAGCAGCAGCAGCAGCAGCAGCAACAGCAGCACCAACAACAACAGCAACAGGAGCAGCAGCAGCAGCAGCCGCATGACTCGCAGCAGCAGCAGCAGCAGCAGCAGGCGCTGCTAGAGAAGCAAAGACAGCTGGAGGCACTGCAGCAGCAAAATGATCTGCTGCAGCAGCAACAGGAGGAGCAGCAGCAGCAGTTGCTGCTGCTGCAGCAAGAGATTGTGCAGCTAAGACGCAGCGTGCAGCAGCCCAAACTCTCAGACGCCAGCAGCAGCAGCAGCAACTGCAGCAGCAGCAGCAGCAGCAGCAGCAGCAAACAGCATCAGCCCCCGCCTCCTGAGGGTCCTCCTCCTTTGCCTCCTCATGGGCCTAAAGCAATCCAAGCAACAACCAACAGCAGCAGCAGCAACAGCAGCAGCAGCAACAGCAGCAGCAGCAGCAGCAGCAGCAGCAGCAGCAGGCAGCAAATGGAGTACCTGAAGCACGTGCTGCTGAAGTTTATAATATTTAGACAAAGAGGAGACACAGCAGCGCAGCAGCTGCTGCCTGTTCTTACCTCCTTGCTGCACCTTAATCACGAGGAGCAGCAGCTGCTGCTGCAGCAAGAACCACATACTTGGTGGCCCTCATAGAAGCAGCAGCAGCAGCAGCAGCAGTAACAGCAGTAGCAGTAGCAGCAGCAGCAGCCGCAGCAGCAGCAGGAGCTGCAGCAGTAACTGCAGCAGCAGATAGATGCTGCTGCTGCATGAGGTCTACACTTGGTGGCCTTTGTATCGGCAGCAGCAGTTGCAACTGCAGCAGCAGCAGCAGCAGCTGCTGCTGCTGCTGCTGCAGCATCTGTAGCAGCAGCAGACGCTGCTGCACTTGCTGCACATATTGATGCTTCTGTTGCTCGTTTTTCTGCTGCTGCTGCTGCTGCTGCTGCTTTTTGTTGCAGCTAATGTATATGCATATGCTGTTGCAGCAACAGCAGCAGCAGCAACAGCAACAGCAGCAGCAGCAACAGCAACAGCAGCAGTAGTATTATTTATAATATATATATATAGATATAATATTATTTTATTAATAGCTGCCTATACACCCCAATTATTCTTTTTGTTGTTTTTACCTCCCTATACACCACAAATTAACTCTTCTTTTTCTTTTTTTATTTTGTTTTATTTATTTATTTATTTATTTATTTATTTATTTTATTTATTTAATTTATTTATTTATTTATTTATTTATTTATTTATTTATTTATTTATTTAGTTTATTTATTTATTTATTTATTATTTAAATTTAGTTCTTATTAGGGGATATGGGGCCCCCTGCCGCCCACCAAACAAAATAAGGGGGGCCCCCTCAGAGGGGCCCCCCCTCCCCACAGGGGGGGCCCCATCAGGGGGGCCCCTTGGGGGCCCCTATTAGGGGGGCCTCCTGGGGTAATCGAATACGAGGCCTTGCATGCAGCAAGTCTGCCTGCCATAGACGGCAGAGGCGCAGCAGCTGCAGCACTTGCTGCACTCGCTGCGGTTGAAGTTCTGCTGCTGCTGCTGCTGCTGTTGCTGCTGCTGTTGTTGCTGCAGCAGCAGCAGCATCGGGACGAGACTCCGAGCCTGCTGCTGCTGCTGCTGCTGCCTTTGCAGGCATAGCACATAGAGCAGCAGCCTCTAAGAGGTAATGCTGCACATGCCTATCGAAGGCAGCAAGCTGCTGCACAGCAGCAGCAGCAGCAGCAGCAGCAGGAGTTGAGCCAGAAGCAACAGGAGAGCCAGAAGCAGCAGCAGCAGCAGCAGCAGTATTTGCTGCTGCTTCTGCTGCTGGAGGTTCTTCTGTTTTAGGCCGTTTGTGTGGATAATTATCCATCTGCTGCTGCTGCTGCAGTTGCTGCTGCTGCTGCTGCTGCAGCAGGGTTGCCCATCGTCCTGCTGCAAATGGTAGCTCGTATGTAATAGCAGCAGCAACAGCAGCAGCAGCAGCAACAGCAGGGGCCCCTACCTCAAGGGCAAGAGGTGTTGCATGCAGCAGCAGCAGCTCCTCCTTGCTGCTGCGCTCTAATGCATGCAGCAGCGCAGCAAAACTTTTTCCTTTACGAGGCCAATAGCTACAGCAGCAGAACTTTTTGCTACTGCTGCTGCTGCTCCCCCCACTGCTGCTGCTGCTGCTGCAGGGCTGCAGCAGCAGCTTAATGTGCCTACTAAGGGCAGCAGGGGCCCCAGGGGGCCCCCCTAAATTAAAATCAATTGCCTGTAGGAGGGAGAGCTCCTTTTGCCGCAGCAAACTGGATAATTGCCTGCAGCAGAGGCCCCCGTCACGCAGCAGCCAAGCAGATGAGGAGCATGCAAGCTGCTGCAGTTGCTGCAGCTGCTGCTGTTGCTGCTGCTGCTGCTGTTGCTGCACCATTGGATCGGAAATGTTGTAGGGAGTATTTTGAGCACCTATACGGCCATTCTCTTGTTCCTGCTGCTGTTGCTGCTGCTGCTGCTGCTGTTGCTGCTGCTGTTGCTGCTGCTGCTGCTGCTGCTGCTGCAGCAAATTAAAAACAGCAGCAATCTGCAGTGCCTTCTGCCGCTGCGATACCCTATAGAAGGCCCTAGATAGACACTGCACCCTTCGTTGGCTCCTGTATATACACAGCAGCAGCAGCAGCAGCAACAGCAGCAGCAGCAGCAGCACGATATGATGGAGGAGGAGCAGCAGCTGGCTAGGTGCTTCTGCTGCTGCAGCAAGACGCGCAGCAACAGCGAAAGCAGCAGCAGCAGTGGCACATTAGTTGGGATCCATACCATACACAATACAGCTGCAGCAGCAGCAACAGCAACAGCAACAGCAGCAGCAGCAGCAGCAGCAGCAGCAAAAGCAGCAGCAGCAGGTCTGACTTGATGGGGTCACTGTCATCAAGAAGTTTCCAAGCCAACAGCAGCGCAGCAGCAGCAGCAGCTTTCCTATTCGTCAGCCGCAGCGGCGGTTGCTGCTGCTGCTGCTGCTGCTGCTGCTGCTGCTGCTGCTTCTGCTGCTTCTGCTGCTTCTGCTGCTGCTCCGTTCCCAAGTAGAAGAAGCCAAGAGCAGCACAAATGCATTCTGTTGAAAGACCCAAGTTCCTGCAGCACAAACCCTAAACCCTAAACCCCAAACCCTAAACCCTAAACCCTCAGCAGTGTTTTTTTCCTTCTTCTTCTTTTTCGTCAACCCCTTGACGGAGCAGCAGCACTTAATTTGTTCCCATCATGAAGGTGCAGAAACATTTAGGGTTTAGGGTTTAGGGTTTAGCAATTAGGGTTTAGGGTTTAGGGTTTAGGGTTTACTGTCCGAGTGCAACAAGGAAGTTAGCCGTTCCTAAGAGGAGCATCCTCTCGTGTCTTCTATCTAAGAAACGACGAGACAGACCCAATTGGAGGACCCCTCCTGCTGCTGCTGCTGCTGCTGCTGCAGCAGCAGCAGGGTAGCTGTCCTCACTGCTGCTGCTGTTGGCGGTGGTGGTGGTGCAGCTGCTGCTGCTGCTGCTGCTGCTGGTAAGGCCAAGGGCTGCATCCACGTCCTTACTAAGGAGAGATAATGCTGCCTCTATCTCCTCTGCTGATGTCTCCATTGCTTCTGCTGCAGCAGCAGATCCATCTTTATCTGCTGCTGTTGCTGTTGCTGTTGCTGCATCTGCTGCTGCTGTTGCTTCTCCTGCTCCTGCAGCAACAGGAGCAGCAGCAGCAGCAGGAGTCAGCATCGCGCTGCTTCGAGTGCCAACAAACCCTTCAGCAGCATCAGCAGCAAATAATAATTAATTAATTATAAATAAATAAATAAATATAAACCCTTAAAAATGATAAAAGGGTTTAGCAGCAGCGGCAGAACCCCTTTAGGGGGCCCCCCTCCACCCCGAGGGGGCCCCCATGCTTCTTGCGGTGGGGGCCCCATGGGGGCCCCCACCCCAAGAAGCCTTTTTTATTACCAAACAACAATTAATGCATAAAATTATTAATATAAACCCTTTTTTTTATTTATAAATACAACAAATGCAAGGGCAACACTCTAGGGTTTAGGGTTTAGGGTTTTATGCTTAGGTGTTACTAGGGTTTAGGATTCACAGGTATGGGTTAGGGTTTAGTAGGGTTTAGGGTTTAGGTTTAGGACTTAGGGTTTAGGGTTTAGAGTTTAGGGTTTAGGGTTTAGGTTTTAATGTTTGGGGTTTAGGATCTAGGGTTTATTCTTTATTATGTACTTGATAAGATTTTGTGTTTAGGGTTTAGGGTTTAGAGTTTAGGGTTTAGGGCTTAGGGTTTAGGGTTTGTCCTAAGGCGTATAAAGGGACCAACAGAAAAAAATTGAGGGTTTGACGATAAACCCTAAAAGCAACAATGCAATGGATAAGGTCGTATGTAGGGTTTAGGGTTTAGGGTTTAGGGTTTAGTGTTTAGGGTTTAGGGTGTAGGCTCGTTATGGTGGGAGACTCAAAGACAGACACATAAATAAATAAACACAAACAGATATGTAGGGTTTAGGGTTTAGGGTTTAGGGTTTGGCCAACGCCTCACAACAACACCTAGGGGCCCCCTGTAAACCCTTTGTGTACCTCTACTAGAGGGGGCCCCCTATTGGTGCCTCCTTATAATAATAAATAATTGTAATAAAAAAGAATAATAATTATAATTATTATTATAATAACTAATAATAAAAGTAATAATTATAAATAAAATAAATATTAATTGTAATGGTAAAAAGCAGCAGCAGCAGCAACAGCAGCAGCAGCAACAGTAGCAGCAGCAGCAGCAGCACCAGCAGCAGCAGCAACAGCAGCAGCAGCAACAGCAGCAGCAGCAGTCTCCTGCCTACCCAGTGCCTTAATTCTAAATCTTTAAAAAAAAGGGTCTAGGGTTTAGGGTTTAGGGTTTACGAGGGGGGCCCCCTTAGACGTGTAAGGTCTAATGGGGAGACGGGGGCCCCCCTGCTGGATTCAGAGGAGGTATCGCTGTGCAGGCCCCCGTACTCCTGTACCCCTCTGGGGGCCCCCCCTCCAGAGGTGCGCCTATCCCCTGTAGAGGGGGGCCCCCTAGATGAAGGGGGCCCCCTAGAGGAGGGGGGCCCCACGGGGGCCCCACTCCTAAGAGAGGATCTGCTGTCTCTGCTGCGGTAAGAGGACCCTCCCCCTCCTGATTCAACTACCCCTAAGAAGGCAGCAGATTGTTGTCTAGAGGGTAGCAGTGACTGGGGGGCCTCAGGGGGCCCCCCTTCCCCCCCTGGGGGGCCCCCCTCTTGTGGGCCCCCCTCACCCCTTTGGGAAACAGCTGGGGAGACGACTTGGGGAGACGGGATCGTCCTCGATCCCAATCTTTGAAGTCTCCCTAAGAGTTGCTCGGCGGGGCCCCCAGGAGACAATTTGGGTACAGGGCCCCCCCCCTTGGGGGGGGCCCCTGGGTCTGTAGGCCGCCGGGGAGGTGGCCCCTGGGGGCCCCCTGGGGACCCCCCAGAGGGGCCTCCCTTCTTGGCTTCGGGAGAGAGGGAATGACGACCTTCTGATTCCCCACTGCTTGGTGAAGGGGGCCCCCGCTTCCCTTTGCCTGCTGCTGCTGCAGCAGCAGCAGCAGCAGTAGCAGCATGCATGTGGGGCCCCTCGTCGCTACGCGAATGAAGGATACGGGGGCCCCCATGGGTACCTCCCCACTTTAAACTATCCGAGGACCAACTAGATTCATAGGAGGGGCCCCCCCACCTCCTACGGGGCCCCTCGTCATCCCTGTACCCTCTGTGAGGGGCCCCTGTTGTAGTAGTACCCTTTCTTCTTCCTGGTAGGGGGCCCTCCCCATCACCCCCACGTAAAGGACGAAAGGAATGACGCCTTAGGGGGGGCCCCTCCCTTCCTCTACTTATTCTTCTTCTTCTTCTTGCTTCTTCTTCCTCTCTTTCTTCTTCTTCTCCCCTATAAGTGTCTCCTCTTATATATCTGTCTCCTTCCTCTAAGGAATTATATCTATCCCTATTTATATATTTATTTATATATTTATTTATATATCTTTCCTTATCTATATTATTTATATAATTATCTATATATCTATCCTTATAATATTTATCCTTATAATACCTATCTATATCATCAATTGAGGGGCCCCTTCTGTACCCTCTTGTCCCTCGACGAGGGGGGGCCCCCTCTCCTCTTTCCAAATATACCTCATCCTTGTGGGGGGCCTTGGATGGGGCCCCCTTTGGGGGCCCTTTGGGGGCCACCTTGGGGGCCCCCTCAGGGGGACCCTGTGGGGCCCCCTTTGACCCTCCCATCCATCCTGTGAGGATTCGAGTCCATACAGGGGCATCTTCTGCTGCATCTGCTGCTGCAGCAGGGGGGCCCCCCGGGGTACCCC